AGCTTTATGAGTTTCTGTGAAGTGAAGGATTTCTGGTTTTGTGCTAGAGAGAGATAACCCGATTGCACCATTTGATAGTGATGAATTGTTTTATATGGTCTTAGTACTTAATGAAAATGTAAACAACCATTGCTAGTGCGAATAGTTTTTTAATCCAGTTAATTAACATTCAAGTACTTAATCTAATCTATTAATTGAGAATGCATATGTGTTTACTAATTTTTAATTACCTTAGAATAGATGGAAATTGTAATAATTAATGTTGGAATGCAGACTGCTGCTGCTGTGTCAATATTAAAATAAATCGGTCTTCTTGCTTTTTATTTATTTAAGCAAATATAATCTGGTTAGTATGATATGTTAATTCCCAGACAGAGCAATAGAGAAGCTCATCCTGGTATATCTTTCAGAAAGAACTAAAGGTTGGAGTGTAATTAGTTCTGTACAACATAGTGCTGTGGGAAGTTGGTCAGATGTGCTATAGAGGGCTGAATGCAGTGATCTGCTGGAATGCCTTCCTCCTATCTGAAAGCCAAAGGCGTCTCAGTAAAACTTTGTTTTGGTATCTCAGGCTGTAGAATCATTTCTTTGTAAGTCATTTGCTTGGTGAAGCTAGTATCTTTAGCAAAAAGAATTGAATTATGTTGCTCCCCCTTCTTTTTCTGTTTGCTGTAGAAAGAGTCTTTATGAGTCAAAAGAGAAGAGAGTCAAGTTAGTGGCTGGTTTTTAAACCATACTCCTGTATTTTTTTTGGTCTTCGGAGGATGATGGTAGCAATAAAAAAACCCCTCCTCTTAAAATATACTAAAGATCAAAAGTACGCTTTTTACCACTGGGGTAATTGTTGAGTTTTACTGCAGTTCTTTGTATTGCTGTTGGTCACACTGAATGTTGTTGCTTTTTTAAAAAAAAAGTTGTATCTTTTGTTGATCATTCGTATAAGATTACTTATATTTCTTGTGCTGGAGTTTAAAAAATAGGAGTATTTTAGTTCATGCATATTAGCCTTTCGATGGCTTACTCTAATTCCATTGATGAAATGGAATGAACCTTTTCATAAGTTGTGATCTGAACAAAGCTGCTGTCTTTATATTTGAAAGTGCTACTGAATATCTGAAACTTCATTTTTCTTGAAAAACTAGTATATGCTTACACTGGGGACCAAATTCTTATCTTGTTCAAGCTGATGATTCTTCCTGTGCTGGCTTACATTGATGAAGGATGTGGATCTGTATTGAAACCTCATTTCTGTTGTTTTTGCCATATTATAATTGGAAATGTAAACATGCCAGTCTAAATTAAGCCTATCATTTAATAAATTTGTTATGGGAAGACAAAGTGATTTGTTGCTACTTGATTTTACTTCCCATTTTCAGATTTTTTGTTCAGTGATTGGAAAATGCAAATAGTGTGTCCTATTACCCTGGGTAACTAAAACTGCTATAACCTATTTAACCATATTTTCACATCTTCGATGCATTCAAGCTCAGGTCCCATGGAATGGGGGGTGGATATAACTTATTATAACTACTGCTATTATTATTTATTTATTACTTTACGACTTACTAATAATATTTTATTACTATTGTTGATATTTGGTCTTTGGCTCTCTTTTTTTTTTTTGTTTTAGAAAAGGGATTTAAATAAGCCAAATGGCTCCAATTTTTACTGATTTTTTGTGGAATATCTTTTAAAGAGCTAGTAGTGATCTAATATTGAACAGCTAAGCTGTTTTCTTCTTTCTTCGTGCATTGTTATGGTTTGTTCAGCCCTTCTGCTGATCCCTTCTGCATAAGAATGGATGGTATGGTGAGTTTCTCTCACCGCAAGTGATGAGATCTAAAACTGAAGGACAGGGAACAGGAGGCACAGCTCATGTCGGGTATTGGAAGTAATCATAGAGTGGTTCTGGAAAGGAGTATGCAGTTCCTTGCATTTGAAAACCGGCGCTGTGCATGGTTATGGTAATTTCAGTAACTTTTTTTTTTTTTAAAGTAAGAAATAAAAAGGTCAACATGGAGGCAGTCTCCCTACAGTAAAGATTATGTTGCTTCCAGGAAAGATAGTCATCTTTGTTTTCTACTCTCTTTGTAAATCTGATATTTAAAGCCTAGCAAAATACCATAGATTTACCATTGACTTTAAGGCTGATAAAAGCTGGTCTAGTAATCTGCGTTCCATGCTTTGCCAAATTAAAAACATCTCTTTGGCCTTTAAACAAGACTGGCATCTCACTGACAGGCCATTTGTTTCCCTGGCATTGAGCAGTGTTTACTGCTTTGGATTCCTGCAGCAAAGGATTCTTTGTGGGTCCAGTGACCTACTACAGCTTCTTTCTAAGTAGCTGTAAGGTGTCTCTTCAGATATTTTTTGTTTTGTTTCTTGTTCCTGCAAAGATGGTAGTTGAGGTGTGATTTCTGGGCTTCCAGAGATAAAAAAGTATAATTCCTTTCATAGAAGAATTTCCTTTAATTAAATAAAATGTGTTGGGAGAAATCAGAAATGAATTCTTGATATCAGAATACAGTGGAAGATGTTTTGGCTGTCCTTGTTTCCTATGAGCTCATCATCTGCAGAGTGGCATACCAAGCTCTGGAAATCAAGATCCAACACTGTTTATTCACGTTAAGTCTTCCAGTCCCAAAGACTTTCTAGTTCATTATGAGGAACGAGTGTACCTTTGTAACATTGTTTTACAATGAACTTCCTAACCTGCATTCCTAACGCTAATTAGATTTGGAGAAGACTAACATGGCTTGTGTTTCTTCACATGTTGTATGCAAAAATGTTACAACTTGGTATGCTTTTTAATGGAACTGAAGCCTTTTGAAGGTTTGATGCTGTCAAAACGGTGAATAACTGCAAAAGTATGTAAGATCAAAAGCTAAGCTTTGAAATGAGAAACATGGTTTTTAGATGTTCTGAAGTCATAGGTTGTAGACTGTCTGGAATAGGCAAAAAGCTGGAGGCAACTTAAAGTAGAACATACATATATAGAGATTTATATGCACGTACCTTTTTACATATATATAAAATATATATAAAATACTTGCAGCAGCATACATTGAGTAATATTTTTCAATCAGCCTCAAGGGAACAGAATGTCATTGGGGGATTTATCTTGATACATGCCATGCAAAGGAGATAAAAGGTTTGATATTTCATGCCTAGAATTCTTAAATCATTGTTTGTGTTTTGTTCTAATACCTTACACATCTTCACTTGTGGATTAATTTATTTTCAGTTAATGGAGATTGGTAATTAGCTTGTTATAAAACATAGTAAAAGTGTTATGAGTAAAGTGTGCTTCTTTTGAGAAATATGCTTCAATTTTTCTAAGCATTGGTATTTCACAATGTGTTAGAAAATTAAATTTCCAATACTCTTGAGCTACTGACATTTTAGGTGTTGTCACGTCTCTTTTTTTGTATAGACTTCTCAAGCACAAAGTAATGAATTGTATGTTAAAAACACATTCTAGCTGTCTGCAAGTGCAGCCTCGTTTTCCTTCTGCTCCCTGCCTTTCAAATAGCACTGGAGAGCATGGGCTTTTTACCCATTACCAGTTCATTCCTTCTGTTTTGTGCATGCCAGAGCCGAAACTTGCATTAGGTATGGAATTACTGGCAGAAGTTTGCTACTCTCTGCAGTTTCAAAACTATGTGTTAAAAAAAAAAGTTAATGCCTGAAAGTACTTTGAAAAGCTGAATTCCCAAATGGTTTCCTCTTGGGCTTACGGTTGCGTTTTTAATTTTTTTTACTGATGTTTGTGTAAGTTAGATTTGAATAAAGGGACTAATATTAAAATCTGAAGGATGAGATGATGTCAAATTCACTTAAAAAAAAAAAAGAAAAAAGAAAATGACGTCTCCGATTCCTTTAGGTTATACGAAGTTTTAAGTGTTGTTCTAAAAAAATAAACAATTTGCAGAGATCAGCGTAGGTTTAAGTTGATTTGCTCCATTTACCCTACCAATTTGGACAGAAGAATTTAATGCTTTCTTGGAAATGTCTTTCAGCTGTTACATTATAGATTAATTTATAGGCTGCAGAATGCTGTTACCCATAAAACTTTTTTACCCATCTTGAAAATTAAGTTCTAAAATCAAATGTGTATAAGAGCTGGCCTTTTCTCTTTCACTAGGTCACCAAAGATAAATTGGGATAAATTAGTTATTTCAAATAAAAGCATTTATTTGCAGTGGAAAAAATATCTCAGATTTACCAAAACCCACCATGATGTTTTTCCTATTTCCCTTGCAACAGTGAACACAGATTTAGTAAATCTTTATTAAATTAGTGACTTGGCTAAGTTTCAAATTGAGTTCTTAGGCTTGTCTTGGAGAAGCTGATTGCAAACAAATAGGGAAGTATATCTGTAACTCTGACAAAAGAAATTTTGCAAGGGAAGCCCCTAACTTAAATTATATTAATAGATAATAAATTAATAGGTGACAGATTAATAGATGATAACTTGTAGTGATTATAACACTTCCAGGTGGCTTTGTATTTTGTCTATAGCTTTCAATGTGTATTAACGTAATTTCTTATTGTGTGTTTTTATTCTATGAAAATGTGGTTTTGCTCATGATTTAAGTTTGTAGTAATGATGCATATAGAGGTGTCAAAACACAAGTGATAAATTCCAGTGCGCAGCCATCGATTGGCACTTGAATAGTTTTCTGCATTGCTGGGTAAAATGACGTGATTTGCCAAGGAAGGTGCAACCCTTCCATTCCTGACTTGGTGCTGTTCATTCTGCGGTTTGCAGTGATGGGTTTCATGTCCCGCCAGAGCTGTTGACCCTTTGTACTATCCAATTAATGGCAGCCTTTCCTTGGGCTGATGATGTTGTGATCTGGGCATTGATCTGAGTCTCTGCTGATAGACATTTCTTGCTCCTTGGTGGGAAGAAATGATGAAATGCTGATCTACAATGGCACTTGGATGTTGCTGAAAGATTTTTTTTTTTTAATAGTAGATTAAATTGTCATTTGCAGCTTGTAGCTGTGTTTGATGAGCAAGATCCACACCATGGAGGTGATGGCACCAGCGCCAGCTCGACAGGCACGCAAAGCCCGGAGATTTTTGGCAGTGAGCTTGGCTCCAATGCAGCATCGGCCTTTCAGCCTTACCAAGCGACAAGTGAAATTGAAGTCACTCCATCAGTCCTTCGTGCAAGTAAGTAAATGTCCTCGGTATCTTGACGTGTTTCATCTTAATTTACGAGGATGCCAAGTGCTGTTACCTATTCATGCTGCTGGTAAAATGATTCATTATCTGTCCTTATCGAAAGCTGATCGGAATTGAGAAACTGCGTAAATGCTTGTTGCATGCAAGTAAACAAACCTTTCTGTTTTAATAAATTATTTATAAACTGATTTTAGGAGCAATAAGCTCCTTCTGTGCTGCCAGTTTAAAATTGTCCTCACACTGAAATCACAGCAAAATTTCCAAATGCAGTTGCTGCACAGTGTAATTTTCAGTTTGCCGGTTTTGTTCCATTTAATGAAGAAAAGGCTAAAAAGAAACTGAAGATAAGAGCACTTTCTACTGAACCTGTCAATGTTGCTAGGCTATGCTTGTCACCTTTCCATAAAAACACCTGCCGATACGTGCGTTTACTGTGTTGCAAAAATACGCTTCTTTAAAAAGCAGAACCAATAGCCAGGAACATCCCTTTATTTTGTTTATTTCAACATGGGGAACATTTGTTACAAAACCATGAAGCAGGAATTATATATCACATTTCTTGCTCAGGCAGGATCTTTGAATATTTCAGTTTACTAAGAAGAAAAATCATGCAACAAAATTTACTGTGTCATTTTCATTGTTGTTAAAAGTATCAAGCAAACAAGACAATGTTGGATAAAGCATCGTGCCCTCTTAGGTGTAGTGTCTATCATTTTGCTCACTGAACTTTTGAAGTAGTAACTCCACTCCAGAAAATTAGCAGTGGTTAGTATCAGTCAGTCCTTTGATATTCTACAGATAGAGTGTTTTAAACAATTATTTGTAATTCCCGAGAGATTACTTCTCTGTAGGTGTTCTCTTAATGGATAAAATCTGTGTTTAAGTAATCAGGTAAAATGCAAATGGAAAAGTTACCACACTATTAAGTTTGAGGGGTTTTGTACCAGAGTGTTTTCTATAAAATTAAGGGAACAACATTTAACAATTAGCTTACATAGACTTGAACGTGTATCCTTTGAAGCTCTAACTATGCTTCATTACAACACAGAATTAAATTAGGGAAAGGATTAATGGCAGAATAAAGAAGTATCCTGGAATTTCAGGACCCTTCCATTTTGCTGTCAGTAGCGTATGCCACAGCTAAATGCATATCTCATTTCCATGCATAAGCCAAAAAGCTGTCCTCCTGGGTTCTCAATTTAGCAGGGGTTAGAGCAGGCAAATACATACACATTTTCTCCTTAGTGTGCTTATCTGGTGTATTATATGATACATTGATGTTAGTGCATCAAAATCATATAGTGCAGACAAAATTCAATGATACATTCAATGATATATTATCTTCAACGTTATTCTGGAAAATTCAGAGAATACTTAGCTAGTTCTTCATTGATTGCTAAAATGACCAAAAAGTGCTTTGAGAACCTACAGTACAAAGGTCTATAGAACTGCAGAAGACTTTTAAAACTATTGGTAAGAATTATAGCTCTTCTGATACTTTTTATAAAAGCACGCAAAAATAAAATATATGAAACAATTTGTCATAAATATGTTATCACAAATCAGATATGTTCTCTTATCTAGCTAATTCCTTTTTTATGTTGACAATTAAATATATTTTGTTTTTAAATGTTCCAAACCACAGGCTTAGAATCCCAGTCCAGTAATATTATCTCATATTAAAAATACCTATTTCAAGAATTTCATTTAAATATACATTGAAAATGGAAATAATATCCCTATTGTATTTCCTTTATAACTTGTGAAGTGAAGCATAGCATACAAATGGTATTCTCAGTATTTCAAATAATTATCTTCTTACTGTGTAAGTTCTATTCAGCAAATAAAACCCATCCAGTTTTGTGGTAGATGCAGATCCTGATTATTACATGTTGACAAGGTCATATATCTATTAATTGGATTGGAGATGGGATACAAAATTGCTGTAATTATTGTAATTTTCTAGCTAATTGCAGGGTTGGCGGTGAATATTTTACTTCTAACAAATGAAAAACAGTATTCCATCTGAAATTGGTTTATAGCATTTTAGACATTTTGTTTTACATCTCTGGTGCTTTTTGTTCGCAAGCTGGGCTCTGTTTCTCAGCAGTTCACTCGCGGAAGCGTAGCTTTGTGCCATTCTGCTACCGCTCACCTGCACCCGAGGGGTACGGAGCAGCCTCTCTTCAGAGGCAGAATCTCAGCGCAGTAGGCTGGGGCTTAAGGGCCTGCTGAGATTTTTGTCTCTTTGTTCTGGTTGCCATGCTACCCCTTTTGTTTGTTTATAGATCACGCCGTCGCTCCTCTCCCAGCAAGGGAAAGGTTAGCTAGATCAGGTCCAGCTGGAAAAGTAATATTCATCTGCATTCCCTCTTTTCCCATGCACAAACACAGCCTGTGCTTTGCACGTGGGGGGGTTGTGTCAAATTGAATCTTCCCATCTAAATGTGGAAACAAAAATAAGGCTGGCTCTGTACCCCCTATGTTGTTTTGCAATGTGAAAACACAATTCGATACAACCAGTTGATTTATTTATGTTTCTTATCTAGCTCTTTCTCTTTTACTGCTTTTCTGTTACCCAAGTTAAACTTCCTCTTGTGTTTCATCAGTTGAGCTACATTTTTTTTCTACGCGTACAGTACACAAGGCATTTTTTGTGTGTGCCTGCGTGCTTTCTGAGAAGAGGTTGGAAGCTCACTGCAGAAGATTGTTAAAGCAGACTGATGTTTATTCCCTGCTGAAATATAAACTGGAGGCGCAGGTGAAAATTGCCAAACCTAATGAGCAATTTGGCAGATAAGACAGGATGTCAGGCAGTGACAGTTCAGCAGCGGGTGCACTGCCTGTGAACCAAGTTGTTTGTTTCACAGTACTGCATTTAAATATTGTAAATAAAATCCCTTTCCAGCTACATGAGATATTGTGAAAAGGGTCATCTCTTTGTCTAGTTTTCCTTTTAAGTTTTTAGCTCTGTCAAATAGTCAAGGGTGGTCTTAGTTCTTGGTCTTGGTGTGATTATATGTTACAAGTCTCTCTGTTTCAGCAGTTATGGTTAAAAAAGCATTTTTAGTGTATAACATTATTTGGAGGGTTTAGAGGACTGATTTTTTTTTCTTTTTCTTTTTTTTCCTGGCCCAAAGTAGAGAAGAGTAAGGAGGCTGGGGGATCTTCCTTCTTTCTTTCTTTAGCCCTTTAATGGGAGGATACCGAGAAGATGAAGCCAGGCTCTTCTCACATGGGCACATTGTTGCTGGAGGCAACAAACACAAGTTGCAACAAGGAAAATGCCAGTTAGATATTAGGAAAACAATTTTTAGCTTGAGAGCAAAACAGGCTGTTCAGTGAAATTATGGCATCTCCATCCTTGGAGGCGGACAGAACTTGTCTGAGCATGGCTCTGGGCAACCTGATCTAGCTGGTCCCGTTTTGTGTGGAGGGGTTGGACCAAATGACCTCCAGAGATCTTGTCCAACCTCTGAAGTTACCGTGTAATTCTATGACTTCAAATATCATTAACAAAATTAAAGTGTTTGCTTCTCGAAGCAGTTATTTTTAAAAGTAAATGATGTTAGTGAAATAGTTAGCAGACAGTTGTGCAAGCATGTTGTGCACTTACAGCTTAGTACAGTTTAGTATTGTGCTAGTTTGTGCCAGTGTGACACAGATCAGCTGACTGTGCCTTTTACAAGACTACTGCTTTTGTTTTCAGGATGTCTTTGGTAGGGGTGTCAGCTCCTTAAAAAGGAGATATGGGGTAATGGCAAGGTTCTTCTTAAAGGCTGGAGGGTGAGCAGCTCCTGGAAATGCTGGCCAGAGGAGTCTAAGAAATTATGAAGAGCTAGCTGGAAATGGTGCACTCCAGTGATGTATTTGCTCAAGTGATCTGTTTCATATACGTTAGTAGGACTCTTGGCATCAGTTTCATATTCTGGTCACAAAAGCGGATGGTGGGGAAAAAAAAAAGATCTAGATGAGAATGTTATGAAGTGAGTGCACAGCTGGCTGTGAAGATACACTAAAAGTGCAGAGGAGCAAAGTACTTACGGCAGCTTCACATCATTGTTTACCCAGCAGCGTGGCTGTTGCTCTAAGGTTCCCTGTGTGCATGTGTGTTCTTACCCTGCAATAAGTACAAGTTTATTCCTCAGGGGTAACAGCACGCATGCAGACTTTCACTGGAAATTCATTGATATATTAAAGTTAATGACCTTGCTTGCCTTTGAATTTGTGGATCTCTCTCTGCTTTCTGAGTAGTTTTTGGAAGTTCACTGGCAAATTAGTAGGATGTATCAAGTATAGTCCCTGAGGGCTCTCTTAGGTTAAGGACTATTCAGTATTTTAATAACTCTGAACTGGAATATAGAGTTTGCATAAAAACCTAAAATGGAATTTCAAGCACTTTGGATGTCAAGGTTTCAGTTCAGCATTCACTTCATACATTTATAAACTGCTTTGAAATCAGTGAGATGTGTGCAGTCACTGTATCTAGAAAGAAGAAAGTAATTTGCAAGGCAATACTAGTGAACAGCTAACTACACAGTACTGCAAGATGGATCTAGGCATTCTAGTGCATTATTATAGTGCATCCGGGCATTATGCTCTTCCATCAAAGGATCAAAGGCAAATGCTGTTGTGGGCTCACTGAAGTAGTTGTGAGCAGGAAAACTTAAGCTGGAGTGACCAGTTGTAGTGCCAGACTTGGGGAAATTGTAAACAAGTTGGAGAGAGCTGAAAGAGAGTAACAAAAGTAAGATGCTTTGGAGACTATGACCAAGCACTGGAAGGGCTGGTTTATTTAGTTAAGAGAATATAAAAACTGATAGGGTCCAAGTCTTTAACTGTATTTTTTTTTTTTGTCTCATTCTCCATGTCAGCTAAGAGAAGGGCAGTTGGCATTTCCTGGGAAAAAGCCATTTTTTTGTAACCTGTAAGTCTAAAAAATGTTTTTTACACCTCATGTAACAAGCAAATCTTTGTGGGAATGGTTC